TTGTTGTTGTTGTTTTGTTTTGTTTTACTGTTGTTGTTGTTTTAAGACAGGGATTCTCTGTGTAGCCCTGGATGTCCTGGAACTATCTCTAGACTAGGCTGGCCTCCAACTTACAGAGATCTGCCTGCTTCTGCTTCCTGAGTGTTGAGATTAAAAGCGTTCACAACGATCGATGCCCGGCTTTGCATTGTCAATATTAGGAAACTGCATTGCTTGCTATCTTTAGCAAGTAAGAGAGATACTTTATAATTTCCTGTGCCCAACATGTATTAAAAGCCCTGATTCAGGTGCTGTAGAGATGAACAGTGGCTAAGATCACTTGCTGCTCTTGCAGAAGCCACACTGTCAGTTCTTAACACCCACATGAAGGCTCACAACTATTGGTAACTCCAGTTTCAGGAGATCCAGTGCCCTCTTCTGGACTTTCTGGGCACTAGGAACTTCTGTGATGTCCAGACATATATGCAGGCAAACACTTATACACAGAAAATGAATAAACCTTTAAAAAAAGAGAGACCTGATCCAGAGTAAGAAATTAAATGGGGCTAGAGAGATGGCTCAGCAGTTAAGAGCACTGACTGCTCTTCCAAAGGTCCTGAGTTCAATTCCCCAGCAACCACATGGTGGCTCACAACCATCTGTAATGGGATCCGATGCCCTCTTCTGGTGCGTCTGAAGACAGCTACAGTGTACTCATCATATACATAAAATAAATAAAATCTTAAAAAAAATTAAAAGACTCTTTGCTCAGGGGATGACCTTTGGAAACAGGATCTTACTATACCACCCGACTGGCCTTGAACTCCTAACTCAAATCATCCTGCCTCAGCTGCTTGAGTAGCTGGGACTACAGGTGACTACAGGTGCTTACTATACTCTTTGCACAATGTTTGACCCTGCTTCCCTAGCTGTGAAATCAGAATCCTACTGAGGTACTTCATAGCAGTATACCTAGGATTAAGTCAGTTAGCGAGTTTAAAAGTGGCAGGATGTTTGTAAGAGGGCTTGCTCAAACTAAGGCTCGGTAGCCTGAGTTCAATCCCCAGGGCCCACACAGTAGGAAAGGGAATGACTCCAGAAAGCTGCCCTCTGACTTACACATGAGCAGTACAGCACGTGTGCCCTTTCCCCCAAATAAATAAGAACTTTTTAAAAACAATAAGTTCTAAGAACAAGCCCAGGGGAGGAGAGCGTCACCAAGTGTAGCCGAAGGAACTTTGCCATCACCGAAGCTGTAAGGTGTGGACGTCTTTATCCCCAGCTGTCTGGCTGTAGCTTTCTGTTGGCTTTTGAGTCTATATTGTGAATTCAAGTCTATTCTCTGAGACTTAATCTATTGCTCTCCCCAGGGCACTGTGAGCTTCAAGATTTTGAGGTTGTCTTTGCCCAAGTGCTCATCCTGTTACGACAGTCAGCCTGCCTGTGTGTCCTTTTTCTTCTTCTTTCCCTTAAGAATTTTTAAAAATGGCTGGTAAAACAGACAAACCATTTGCTAAATTAACCTTACAGTGATATTAAATACGTCCACATCTGTGCAACATATTTTCAGGAGTCTTGTCATTTCACACTTAAACATCTGTCCACTTGACTAAGCCCTGTCAATCACTATGTCCCTGTCTGTCTTCATGAACTTTACTGCTCCAGATACCTTGCATATACTATATGTCTGTGTCTATGCATCTAGTGTGTCTATGCATATAGTATGTATATGTCTATGCATATGCATATGGTTTGTCTATGTCTATGCATGTGTATATGGTATATCTATGTCTATTCATGTACATGTAGAATGTCTAAGCATGTAGTATATGTCTTTTGGG